TGATTCCCTTGGTTCCAGATGGTGTTGTTACCACATTCCTTTCTCTTGAGAACTTCGTTATCACATTGGTAATATGTGGTGTTGATTTCGGGATGAGTGAAATATTTCACCTGGTTCTTGGGACATTTGTCTGCAAAACAAACATTAAAGGTTTAATTAAGGGGATACAAACAAATATAAAACGTAGAATATCAGGTGTAGGGATTTCAGACCAGTTCCAAATTTAGACAGTGGCATTAACCCGTCATCTTCGATTTCCAGTTTGTCCATGGACCATACGGATACCCAGTTGCCCATAGGGACTTGGCGTCGGAGCAATAGTACCCTCTAATACTTATGCTATTATTAGGAATAGTAAAAGGTACTCAAAACTGTCAGAAAGGCATGACCGACGCAATCTACCGTCATCAAGTCATGAAAGCTCAGCTTCACTAGCGACAGTTTCCACAGCATCAAGATAAATTAAATTCAGAAAATGTTAACATACCTCCACATATCTGGGTGTTGCATTCAATGGTTCTGTTTTCAATTGTGGCTCCAACACATTCATCACCACCATAAGTTGGGTTAGGGTTGGTACATGATCTCTCGCGGTATTCATTAACTTCTCCACCTCCACAAAGAGCAGTACACTCATCATATTCTTCATAATCAGACCAGTCGGACCAACCACCATTAACTGAAAGGGACCAGAAATAGTACTTTAATGGCAGCATCGTGGTAAAAAAAAAATTTTGTGTTGTCTAAAGATTTTCGTCTCCATTGTAATCTAACTCATTTTCTAATACAGTCCTGTTCGCATGACGTTATTTTTTATTCAATCAAATCATACATTACAAAACGAAATTGGTATTCTAATTCTAATTAGATTGGTAACGACAGGTTCGTCATCATCGCCTCTTCGTCAAGGCTAGCGCACACGAGAGCTCCCAGCTGAGCAAAATTTCATTCGTGCCTTTCAGCTCAGCTCGTAGCTCTCGTGTGCGTGGAGTTTTTCATTCGAGGCGTTAAGGAAATTATCTGTCGTGTTTGATAATTTTTTCCTCGAATGAAAAATACTTTACCGTGTGCGCACTCGAAAGCTCTTAGCTTTCAACTTTGAAAACTGGGGCGCATGCGCTAGCACGTGATCAAACAAAAATGGCTGCGCGATAGGCCGTGGTGTTATTGGGATCTAAGAGGATTATTTTCAAAAATTGTAGAAACATACCAATGAGTTATATTTCAGTGTTTTAAGTTTAGAAAAGGTACGAAAGAGCTATTTGACTGCTTTCAGCATTTGACGTCCTTGTCTATAATGCCAAATATAGCTTGCCAGGCAAGGTAACATACGCCAACAGATAGCTTTGATTGTAATTATTATGAAATTCGATATATTTACCATCTTCATAATGACATTGACTCACAAAATCAAAAGAATCTAAGAATGTAAAGAATTGTACTTGTAGAGTGAGCACAAGTTGCACAATATAGCTAATAGAGTAAAATTTCAAGACAGACAGGATATTTTGGTGAAAAATTATCCGATTATCACAAAAATCGATAGGGATCATCTTCATAATGACATTGACACACAAAATCAAAATCAAAAGAATCTGTAAAAAAGTGTAGCCTGTAGAGTGAGCACGAGTTGCACAATATAGCCAATAGAGTAAAACGTCAAGTCAGACAGGATATTTCCGTGCAAAAATTATCCGATCATCACGAAAATCAATAGGGATCATCTTCATAATAACATTGGCACACAAAATAAAAATCAAAAGAATCCGTAAAGAACTGTAGCCTGTAGAGTGAGCACGAGTTGCACAATATAGCTAATAGAGTAAACGTCAAGTCAGACAGGATATTACCGTGAAAAAATATCCGATCATCACGAAAATCAATAGGGATCATCTTCATAATAACATTGGCACACAAAATAAAAATCAAAAGAATCAGTAAAGAACTGTAGCCTGTAGAGTGAGCACGAGTTGCACAATATAGCTAATAGAGTAAAACGTCAAGTCAGACACGATATTTCGGTAAAAAATTATCCGATCATCACGAAAATCAATAGGGATCATCTTCATAATGACATTGACACACAAAATAAAAATCAAAAGAATCAGTAAAGAACTGTAGCCTGTAGAGTGAGCACGAGTTGCACAATATAGCTAATAGAGTAAAACGTCAAGTCAGACACGATATTTCGGTAAAAAATTATCCGATCATCATGAAAATCGATAGGGATCATCTTCATAATAATATTGACACACAAATTAAAAATCAAAAGAATCCGTATAGAATTGTAGCCTGTAGAGAGTGAGCACGAGCCAAATGTGAACGGACGGACCGACGGACCGACAGACTGATTACAATATACGCCCATCTTTCGAGTGGGCGTATAATAAAAATCAAAAGAATCCATAAAGAACTGTAGCCTGTAGAGTGAGCACGAGTTGCACAATATAGCTAATAGAGTAAAACGTCAAGTCAGACACGATATTTCGGTAAAAAATTATCCGATCATCACGAAAATCGATAGGGATCATCTTCATAATAATATTGACACACAAATTAAAAATCAAAAGAATCCGTGAACGGACGGACGGACGGACCGACGGGGTGATTACAATATACACACCCATCTTACGTGTTGGCGTATACAAATGAGGTTCGGCTGTAACCTTTAAATGGCAGATGAAATGGCGGCCAAGGAACACGTCTTTGTGCTACTGAACACAGGAGTACCATTGCTCATTGTTCATTTTGAACAACATATAACTATTTTCAAAGTAGTAATACCTTATTCAAAGAAAAACTTACTTGGGCATGGTCTTCCGTTACAGGACACATTTTCAGTTTTGTAAGATTGTCCACGGCATTGAGCACCATGCTTGTATGGGGTTGGGTTGGTACAAGTTCTCCTCAAAACTCTGGTCAGAGTTCCAGTTCCACAAGTAGCACTGCAGGAGGATCGTTCAGATTCAACAAATGTGGACCATCCACCATTTCCTTAAGAAAAATAGAAGAAAAATGACCCAAACGTTAAACCCTGCAATTATTTTAACATTATAATCGACTAGCACCAGCTACGACAGACAACAAATAAAACGCATAAAAATGCACGAAGGACTCAATGCATGTCAGTTTCGACATGTAAGACAGCTAACAGATCGGAGTATTTGGAGGATTAACAATTGATCAGTCGTGGATTGAGTTGCCGAGTAACAGCATACAATGAAAGGTAATTTCCGTACAAGATACGTTGGAATGCCTTACTAGTCTCCGCTATCATATTAGTCTCGATCACCGGATCTCTTAAAGTGAATACTTACTGCAATAACTTGTACAGGTTCCTTGAAATGATCTGAAACAATAGATAAATTGAAATTAAGGGAAAACTCCATACCAAACTGACATGTTTGTCAACTCTAAATCAGGCTGGTCCTATAGGTTTGGATGAGCCATGTCAATTGGGGGTCATAAAGTTCCGCATTTAAAACCGTGTAAATTTTTAAATAACTCATTTCACTTTTATACTAGGATCAAAAACAAAAACGATTTTTCAGAAGAATTTATAACCAAATGAAGGTGGATTAGTTCCATAAATATTAATATTAACAAAACCCAATTATAACCAACAGAGAATTTCTTGACAACCCTTTAAAATAAAGCTACTTACTCGTATCTGGTACATCTAGACCACCCATACCATCCACATCTAATAGTCTTTCTTCTGGTCTTGGTACAAGAGTGGGAACACCTACAATTGACAATTGAGATTCTTTATATAGACCCATGGAGCGCAATCGTACAGTAAAAACATAATTGCATTCAAATTTGCTTTACTGGTATTGGCTGGCGCAGTTGCATGAGAACATCGGCATTTTCAGAAACGCTAAACGCTACCGGAGAACATAACGAGTTTTGCTTCGTTCTGACCAAGAAAGAGTGAATTTTACTAGTTTGGCGTACCAGTATTGTCGGAAATGAGAAATTGCTGCAGGTAACTACACAATTCATCCACGATCTGACGAGATTTTTCTTTTAATCGTGTTCTGTCAAATGTTGATCCGATTGCACCAAAATTTACCATAATTCTAGACACTAACAAGTAAATGTTTCATTTCATTCAAGAACAGGAGATGCATAAAAGCATCGAAGATCATGGATGGCAAGTAGAGTCACCCGTAGCATGAAATGAAACATCTGAAGATCTGCATAGATATTAAGTTTCCGTTGCTAGAAGTCATTGACAAACTAGTTGCTCTCGTATTTACTCAGCTGTAATTTCGACCTGGACCTTCCATGCGTCTGTCTATTATACAGTGTAATATCTTTCAGAATAGCTGGGCTGGAAAATCTAATGTATCTCCTGGTAAGCAAAATAATTCCATTCAAACTTACCAGTCGGCGTTGACCTCCAAGAGACAGACTGCCACAGCAAGAAGAACACAGAAAGCTTTCATGTTGATGATTTAAGGTTTGTCGCCCCACGATCTGTGATGTGCTGTGGTCCCTCGGTCCCTTTTATACCAAATCGGTTAGACAAGGGTCCAAGTTTGAAGAATTTCGTGCACGGAACGTTAGGTATACAAACGTCATTATTCTTATAAAATTCAAATTATTTTATGTAAATTGGATATTGAATCTACCGATTTAAAAACATTAGCAAATAAATGTGTATGCTTTAAATTGGGATTAATTTGTTTTTGAGTATCAGTTTGCCTTCAGAAAGATTAAGACTAGTGATACTAATCTCAACATCCTTGCATCTCACGCATATTTTAGGACTGGAGGGTATGCAAACAAACATGTGAAGATATTCAAGCGAACGGAAAGTTTTTAAAGCCCCACACTTCTCAGGACTCTCCCGATTAGAATTCAGTTTGCAACCGATAATATCAGAACGTATTTATCATACAACACTTCATACAATTCATATTGGCACCGCTCTCATGGTAACATAACAACACAAATTATTACACTATTTATTATTGTCATCTACACAGCACAAATTAACATGAACGAACTAACAGGCCAATACTAGCTGATATACAAAGTATATTAATATTTTCCATCATTTTCAGGTTTCCCATTTTATTCAAATGCAACCCGTCTCTTAAGTCCTCATCTAATACCTGACGAATATTATCAAAGAGTTGCATAAGGTTTCTTAAATGCGCATACTTATTACCACCTTCATTCTAATATTTAATTCCTCCATGTATTATTAAATATAGACAATTGAGTGATTTCCCAAACTTAAAAGCTGTATCTAAAACCAATGACAATTTCCCATCCGGAACAGGGATAACCCGCTGATTTTCATTTGCGTGTGCACCCAAATCCTTAACTAAAGAGTCACCTACCACCAACATTGTTACATGATTTGGCACTAAAGAACATCCGAACCTCTCTGGCTTTTTATCAAATTTATCGAAACGCACAACTAACAAATTCCATGTTAGACCGTGTTTATCTGCTCTGAATCCGGTTTTTGACGGATATAATAACACGTGTCCATCTCCTTTGTAGGCTAATATACGAACGGATGATGCGTATTTTTGATTGAAGACCTCATCGATTTCAGTGTCAGCCTTAGCTTCTTTCACATGTATAGGACTTAATAAATCAAACTCATCCCAATAATCACCAAAATTACTTTGTGTTCCTTGGCCCTTAAGTACGGCGCCCCATCTGAAGTTAGAAGAATCTGTAGCTAATTTAATAGTTGAAAGTTGAAAGTCTGGTTTCCATGGAATATAATTAGTAACCGAATCTAAAAATCGCCAAACAGATATTTCATCTCTCAATTCGGAACAAATGTACGTAGTGTCCTTGTGCAATTGCATTAGCTTAGAAATAGTACTAAAACATACCGAAGTAAATAATCGTGCACCAGGTACTGCGAATCGTTGTATTGTCAAGAGCGTTTTTAGTTATTTTTAGTTAAAATTGATTCCCTCAATACAGAAAATTTATTACGTTTAGAATCCGCCAATATGAAACACTGATTCTTAGCATCAATTATAAAACCCTAATAAGTTATCTGGGAAATTGGTATAAATATTGATTTTGAAAGTCCTATACAATACCCCATACGACAAACAATCTGACAAGCTACATAAATAGCTAATTTAGCCTCTTCATAATTGTTTAAAGAGCCTCTGCTTTGAAATTGTTCTATTAAGCGATCATCTATATAAATCAAATTATTAATACCTAGTTCTCTTAAATAAGCTGCAACAGTTTTGCTTAGCGTGTGATAAATACGACGTCTTTCAACCAAATGGGAGAGTATTACACACATAAAAATAATTTCGCCATTTAAAACCCAACAACCGCGTGCTACTTTCTGAAACTAAGACGTGATCATAATTTATCGGATTTATCGTCTAATTTCGTAAGATATGAAAATGGCGTTACAAATCTTGGAACGTCGTTTAGGGAGTCCAGCGTAAATGGAGTATCCATTGATTTAAATACCCAAGATTCAAACACATTCTTGGCTTTGAAGGTTCTACAGTAATTGGAGATACTATATATGGGGGTTTCACCACACCAGCCTTACCAAACTTTGAGATTGCCCCTGTTTTTAACCTATTTTCAATTTCGGAATCTATGAAAACTTCAAATTCATGGCAGTTTCGGGAATTATCAAAAAATTTAGGTGGTGGATAATCATGATTAAATTGCTCTCCAGCATAAGAACCTTTAAAGTGCTTAATGTAATTTCCCACATTTACTCCATTTCTAAGCCAATCTAAAATAAATTTTGAAGAATCATTCGTAATTTTAGCCCATTGAAAAATATGATGATGAAGTTCACCAGCTCGAAATGTTTTTGGATTTCTAAAAGGAATATCTTCTAGCTGCGCAGACTATCCAAGATTATTAACCACATCCTCAGCCGATAACGTTTCACTCCATTTGGTTCATCCTTTAAATCAAAATATAAAAAATAAATTTGTAACAAATTTTCCTTGAAAAGAACAATGACAATAAGAAATTTAAATAACTATATCAATCTTTCTTCTCGCACTTAGTATTAATATGACCCGGTTCTCCACACTTATAACAAATTATACGAGAATGTGTATTAGGTTTCTTAGAAGACGAGGAATACATATTTTGTTTATAGGACCCTTTATTGCCCTGGGGAAGTTTCTGATCACCCCAAGACTCCTCCTTTTCCATTAGGCGTGACTCAATTTTCGAGGATAGCATTAGAACTACTAACGAGCCTACATTATGATTTGATTTGTTGGCCAAAAACCTTTTGTGATATTGTTTATTGTTGTCTGAATTACTGAATGTAATCTGGTATGAAGAGTGATATTCTCTTGTGTTATGATGCCACCATTTTAGAATAAACATGTCTTGAATTATTTTACTTTAATCTGTTCTTACCAACTTACAAAGTGGCCATCCAGAACAAGACATAACACCTTTGGCGACGAGGATGCTTGATCTTGATGTCTACGTGTCTTAAGCTGATAATTTTGCTTTGATGGGTGAATTTCTCTACATTTTACTAGAGTCAGTGGACTTTACAATTTCATTGAAGATGAATACAAATGGTATTGCACCCCCACCACCGTATTTGACTTGCCCTGGAAAAGCTCCAATTGCATGGAACCAATGGATACAACTTTTTACAAACTACATGGATGCTTCAGATTACACAAATTTTACGGAAGCCAGAAAGAAAGCTATTTTATTACATTCATTGGGAGCTGAAGGCCAAAGAATATTTTACACATTGTCCGAAGATTCTGTTGAACGAGACGAAGAAGATGATGACTATTCATTCTCAGTGAAATGACTTGAAAACCATTTTCAACCTGATGTAAATGTTGTAGCTGAACGCTATGTATAGATTCAGGAGACATGCACAAACTCCGGGTGAGACTATTGATGAATATTTAGCCGCATTACGAGAGCTTGCTACTTTTTGCGAATTTCCTGATTTTGATGATAGAATACGTGACCAAATTGTTGAGAAAACTGCTGTACCGTACCTAAAGTTCGAGAAAGACTTTTGATGGAATCAAATAGCAAACTTACTCTTTCAAAAACATTAGAAATTGCAAGGCAAGTGGAAAAGGCTATACGTGAAGCCAAATCAATGACTGCTGCGACACAAAGTGACAATACAAATTCAGTGAAATATGTGTCTAAATCGAGTGGTTCAAAGTATGCTAATAAAAATTATGTGAAATCTAATGCGGGAAATAAGGATTCGAAGAAACACAGTGCTAATAATCCGAATAATTTAAAATGTTTTCGATGTGGATCTAAAAGTCATTTGGCAAATTCTAGAAATTGTAAAGCGAGAACTGTCAAGTGTCATAGCTGTAAGAAGATAGGACATTATGAAAGTGTGTGTATGAGTCATTCAGTACGTGAAGTAGATTATGATTACAATGTATTACAATGTGATTCTGATGACAGTGATATACAGATATTAACTCTCTCTGATAATAACAAGAAAGGCTTATATGCTGATATTAAGATAAACAATTATAGTTATACATTGTTAGGTGATACTGGTAGTCCGGTAACTCTGCTCTCTAAAAAGGATTTTGAACAATATTTTAGTTATGATATTTTACAACCTGCACATGTTAGATTAACTTCTTATTCAATCCTTATCCTCAATCTTATGTTCAATCCTTATTAGGATTAGATCTTATTACAGACCTAAATTTAATTTTTGATGGAGGTCAAATGGAAGTTAGGTTTACAGATTCAAATGGTGTTGAGTCTAAACTTTCTAATAATTCTTTCATTTTAGATGATAAATTTGCTGATTTTATTAATTGCTTCGGTGAAGTTACAAGTACAATAAAAGGTTTTGTTCATGAAGTTAAGGTTAAGAAAGATGTTAAGCCTGTACAACAAAAATTACGTAGATTACCTTTTGCAGTTAGGGATTCTGTTTCTAAGGAACTTAAACGCTTAGAATCTACTGGTATTATTGAGAAAATTGATTCTTCTGAATGGGTATCTCCAATAGTTGTAGTTTCCAAAAAGAATAGTAGAAATGCTGATGCTATAAGACTGTGTATAGACATGAGAAAGGTTAATGAAGCTATTATTGTAGATAAATTTCCTTTGCCTACTGTTGATGAATTATTTAGTGACTTAAATGGTGCACAATTCTTTTCAAAATTAGATTTATTAAGTGCTTATCATCAGATAGAATTACATAAAAATAGTCGTGATTTAACTGCATTTATTACTCACGATGGTTTATTCAGGTTTAAACGTACTTGTTTTGGTTTAGCCTCTGCCCCTAGTGCTTTTCAGAAAATGATGTCTTCAATTTTGTATGGCATTAAAGGTGCTAAGTGTATTCTAGATGATGTTATTGTTTGGGGTAAGACACAAGAGGAACATGATGAGAATGTACGTGCTGTTCTACGAAAGTTTCAAAATGTTGGATTAAAGTTAAATCATAAATGTCAATTTAATTTGAAAACAATACAATTTTTCGGTCATGTTTTATGTGCAGATGGTTTAAAGCCACATCCTAGTTTAACTAAGGCTATTATAGATGCTCCTGCCCCTCATGATGTTACATCCTTAAGATCATTTTTAGGTCTAGTAGGTTACTATTCTAAATTTTGCCCTGATTATGCCACTTTAATTGAACCTATGAGAAGATTGTTACGGAATGAAGTTGCTTTTAATTGGTCTAGCGATGTACAACATAGTTTTGCAACTGTGAAGAAATTAATTGCTGAACATTTAACGCTTGCTTATTTTGATCCCAATATTCCTACTATAGTTACTACAGATGCCTCAGGATACGATCTTGGTGCAGTTTTAGGACAAATACGAAACGGGAAAGAAGAAATTATTGCGTGCGCATCTAAAACTTTGACAGAAAGTGAACGTAAATACTCTGTTGGTGAACGTGAAGCTCTGGCGTGTGTTTGGGCTTGCGAGAAATGGCACAATTACTTATGGGGAAGAAATTTTCTTTTACGTACAGATCATCAAGCCTTGACTACACTCTTAACGAGTATTGGTACAGGGAGACAACCAATGCGTATTGCTAGCTCTTACGTTATAACTATACAGTTCAATACAAACCGGGACATTAAAATAAAGTTGCTGATGCGTTGTCGAGATTGCCGTTAACTGATACCAATCCCTGTGACACAGATGATGAAACCATATGTTTACTTACGGGTTGTGTGAATATGTTGGATACGGATGAAAATGATTCTATTAGTGTTTCGCTTGCTGAATTACAAACTGCTACAAATCAAGTTGCTGCATTTCAAACTTTGATTCAGTATATTTTAGAAGGTTGGCCCGAGAGAAATAAATGTATGTCAGAACTGTTGTACTTATATAATATTAAGGATGAGTTAACTGTTTATAAAGGTGTTATATTGCGAGGTGAACGTATTTTAGTACCCGATGCGTTACCTAATAAATTGATTACTCTTGCTCACCAATCACACCAAGGTATTGTACGAACTAAACAAAGATTACGAGAACTATATTGGTGGTCAAGAATGGATTCTCAAGTAGAAGAAAAGATTAAAAATTGTATTATTTGTAGTGCACATGATAAAACTGCTAGTACAAGATATGCTCCATTACAACCAGTACCTTTGCCGAAAGAACCTTGGGAAAAGTTAGGTATTGATATTATGGGTCCTATTGAAAATGATCCACCTGATTGTCGTTTTGCTATTACATTAATTGATTATTATAGTAAGTGGCCTGAAGTTGCTTTTACTAGTCGTGTTACTTCAACGAATGTTATAAAATTTCTTACTTCTATTTTTAGTCGAGAAGGTTTTCCTTCCGAATTAGTTAGTGATCATGGTGTTCAATTTACTTCTTATGAGTTTGAACAATATTTGAAAAGTAGAAATATTAAGCATTATCTTTCTTCTGTTTATTATCCTCAAGCAAATGGGTTAATTGAGCGATTTAATCGAGCTCTTGGTAATTCAATTAAAACTGCTATTATGTCTCGTAAACCTTTGAAAAAGTCTATTCAAGAATTTTTGTGTATTTATAGAGCTACATCACATCCTACTACTGGTTATGCTCCTTCTATTTTATTACATAGTAGACGATTAAGAACAGGTTTAGATATTTCAGTTATTCATAAGTCTTTAGTAAATTGGTCTGCTGAAAAAGTATTTGAAAAAGTTATGAATTCTCAAAGTGCTGGTAAAGATTATACTGATAAGAGAAGAGTTGCAACTAATGTAGACTTAAACGTTGGTGATTTAGTTAGAGTTAGAAAACCTGGCCATGTAAATAAGGGTGAAAATAAGTTTTCCAATCCAGTTAAAATAAGAAAATCGATAGGTCCATCTACTTACAAAACTTCTGGATATGGAATCAATCTAAATGTAACCCTACTAAAATAATGAGTAATTTCAATAAAAGCACTAATCATTCACAAAATATGCCTGTTAAAACTAATATTCAGAACAAAGGTAGCTTTTGTAAATCTCCTGAAGTTGTCTTACGCAGAAGTGCACGAAATAGGAAAACTCCTGCATGGCATAAAAGTTATAAAATGTGAATTATTGATGTATTTTAAGTTGGAGTTTCTTACATTCTTTGTTGTCATACCTTTCGAGTGAAAGTTTCAATTTTGGTTTATTTTTACATTGCTGTTAGTACAAATGTATGCACATGTATTTTTTTTTGAGAGGGGGAAATGTGATATTGTTTACTGTTGTCTGAATTACTAAATGTAATCTGGTATAAAGAGTGATCTTCTCTTGTGTTATGATGTCGCCATTTTAGAATAAACATGTCTTGAATTATTTTACTTTAATCTGTTCTTACCAACTTACAAAGTGGCCATCCAGAACAAGACATAACACCTTTGCAGTACAAAACTGTATTCTTCTGCGTTTACATTATTTGCCTTGCGAGCCTTTTCATTCAAAAGAACGAGTTTCTGATGCAGAGTATCTACTTTCATCTCTGAGGTCCTGGAAGCATACTCTTTTACCTCCCTGAGCATAACATCAACCGACTCTTCTGTTATTCTCTTTTCCCGCCGGCCCACTTTTGATCTAAGCTTCTTTAATTCATCACGAATATCAAACTGTAAAAAATAATCATAATGAACTCAAGTCTTTCCAATCCCGTATAGACTGTGCAACATGGGTCAATGAGTTTAACTGATCCGGAGATCCATTTAATTGGCCAATTAATTAAGACTGTTCTCAGCGTCTAAAAGCGATATATACTTATCAAGCATCGAGTTAGACTTCCAACCCACATGTCCTTTAACTTGCTCATTAGATGCACCCAGATGCTTCAGAGTCAACGCACAGCCACTCCTGAAACTATGGGGAGTTTCTCCATCCCAAACACCCGTTGATTTCAGATGTTTTTTTAACCGGGGGTTCATAAGGGAGGACGAAACGGGTTTATCAGATACCATCCTTCTTCACAGAGCATGGACGGAATAAGATACCCCCTTCTAACTGTACACCTAGGCTTTCTACTTCTTTCAGGTAAGACTGTATCTCGACCACAGGGCATCACTCTCCTACAAGAACCCTCTTTAATATTATTCGACGGGGATCATTTTTCACAGTTTTCCCCTCGAACGAAATTGATCTCGTTCATAATTTATTACCCTACACATTCTCACAATCTTATCGAAGAATAAAGGCATAGCCTGACGCGGTTGAACTAGAACCTTAGATTGTTCCAAAGTAACAGCCTGGAGATGCCGTTTTATTGATGGAGCAGCCATCGGGTTACCGAAACCTAATACCTCGTTCCAGTCTGATCCTCTGCCATGATCTCTAAAAATCGCCCTCAGCTGACCGATCAATGTATCTAATGATGACGCAGCACGCCTTATTGGACATTTACACGATGCCTTATCAGACTGCGTCCTAAACACACAACTATCCAAATGGACTTTTGTTTTCCCAGTGGAATCCTTCCAAACTAAAAACTCTCTCATCACTCCTGGAGATGCATTGTCCAAATTCAACGTAGAGTATACAGACATTAAAAACAAAGTTAACTGACTTGTTAATTTTTCCTTTTGGTGTACATATTTTGTATCAACAAGCAAACTATCCAAATCTTGCATTCTCTTTTTAAAAACCATTCTGTCCAATGAAAGCAACTGAAACGAGACCGACACAAAATTTAACCTAAAAATATATTCTATGAAAACTCACTAATTTCTTCCCACGTCTCTTTTGAACGACTATGCTCCATGATACCCAAAAAATCTAACACCTTCATTAATTGAGTCTATTTTAGGCTTCTAACTTCATTAATTCATATATTCCGTTTTTAATTAACCTTATCAAAACTAGAAATTTTTTCGGGAATATTGTTTTTGATAATATAAATTTAACCTTGACCATTTAAGAGACATTTTGACAAACCATTATAAACCGTTCATTATATATGAAATAACTTAAATCTTACCAACTTTGACATATAGTACATGGTCAAAACCAACTGAGCTACATTTCTTTCAATGAAATACTAGACTATATTATTACTTGAGGTTAAAAATAAATTCAATAACCTCTTGAGGCTGACAAAAGCAAGGCCACTACCTACCGACTAAACCATGATCACTTCAGGTAGACGACTTTCTTACTACCTCAGGCCGCTTACTCCGTGATCACTTCCAAGATGACTACACCATCGTCAGCTCAGGCTGACTACACCATCGTCAGCTCAGGCTGACTACATCATGGTAACTTCAGGCTGACTACACCACGGTAACTTCAGGCTGACTACAACATGGTCACTTCAGGCTGACTACACCATGGTCACTTCAGGTTGATTACACCACGGTAACTTCAGGCTGACTATACCATGGTCACTTCAGGTTGATTACAACATGGTAACTTCAGGCTGACTACAACATGGTCACTTTAGGCTGACTACAACATGGTCACTTTAGGCTGACTATACCATGGTCACTTCAGGCTGACTATACCATGGTCACTTCAGGCCGACTACACCATGGTCACTTCAGGTTGACTACTCCTTTAAAACCTTCAGGCTGACGACTTTGCCACTTCTTTCAACTTAAGACTGGTTACACCATAACTACTTCATATTGACCACTTCCCGCTACTTCAGACTAACTACTCTATAATGACTCCAGATTTACTATTCCTTGCCAGTTAAAACAGACTACTTCCTTATAACTTCAAGGTGGATACATCCAGATCATTCAGATTTACCACTTGTTACCACCTCAAAATTTACCATTTGTTACCTTTTGAGATTATTTTTTCTTGCCAATTCAAATTCAACACTTGTTATCACCTCAAATTTAACACTTGTCACCACCTCAAATTTACCAGTTATTACCTCTTCAGATTTATTACTTCTTTCCAATATAAATTTAACACTTGTCACCACCTCAAATTTACCAGTTATTATCTCTTCAGATTTATTACTTCTTTCCAATTCAAATTTAACATTTGTCACCACCTAAAATTTACCAGTTATTACCTCTTCAGATTTATTACTTCTTTCCAATTCAAATTTAACACTTGTCACCACCTCAAATTTACCAGTTATTACCTCTTCAGATTTATTACTTCTTTCCAATTCAAATTTAACACTTGTCACCACCTCAAATTTACCAGTTATTATCTCTTCAGATTTATTACTTCTTTCCAATTCAAATTTAACACTTGTCACCACCTCAAATTTACCAGTTATTATCTCTTCAGATTATATTACTTCTTTCCAA